TGATTAATCTGGCATCAGGGAGTCTCCTAACAGTTCTGGTACTTTATCTAGTTTTGCATCAGGGGACTGGTATGCAGACACAGCAGGTTGTATCCTTCAAGGAGATGTGAGAACAAAGGTCAAGACACCAGGTACTGGGGAAATTATGGTAGAAGAGGCTGTGCAAACTCCTATATGGAGAGGCCGTGCAAACTCCTTTATTCCCAGTCCAGGGTCATCCCTGGTCCCCAACACTTAAACAAGTTATTGTTACCTAATTATCTGAATTTCCTTGGTTTTTATTTTTCTGTTGTTTTTTGCTTCTGGTTTAAAACTATTAGCTTTGTTACCTTTCTGTTGTTAGAGTACTGGAGGTGTGGCTCAAATAGTAGAGTGTGGCTCAGCCAATATGGAGCCCTGAGTTCAACCCCCAATACCACCCCCAAATAAAGAAAATACCTTCTTTCTGTTAGAGAACAGAGTTTCATTAATTAAGTTTGATGGGCTTTTATTAGTGATTCATGGATTGGAAAGCACTGCATCTATGAGATAGAAAAGTACTCCTAGCTGGGTGCTAGTGGCTCAAGCCTGTATTCCTAGTCACTTGGGAGTCTGAAAGCAGGAGGATTGCAGTTCTAGGCCAGCTTAAGCAAATAGTTCACAAAATCACATCTCTATAAAAACAAAACAAACGGGTAGGAGGGAAGGAAGAAAGGTAGGAAGTCCTGTGAACTGAGCAGGGGAGTAGTCTGTGTAGGCAGAAAAGGCTAAAAAAGTAGAAGGGATTTCCTACCATACCAGTTCAGGGTGACTGGGACCCTTCTGATTGCTTGTTGTGAATCACTATTTTCCAGTAAACTGCCCCGTTTCCAAGTTCACTTTGATTATGTGGCACTGAGTACCAGTGATTCTGGTCTGGTCTGTTGGAGCCTAGGGCAGGAGCTCAGTCCAAAACAAGAGCCTCCCTTATATTTTGCTGAGCACTCCTAGCTAAATGCAGAGCATCAGCAACATGACCAACATTGAGTATATGTCTTCTAATTCCCAGAAGACAACAGTAGTGTAGGATGATAAATGGAGGCACAGTCCACCTTAAAAATACGTGACAGACACATCTGCTAATCAGAGGTGGTGGCTGTTTTTTCATTCATGCATATTTAGAACATGATGCATCCTGCATCTGTTGAAAAGGTCAAGAAGTTTTTACTTGCATTTCTATTTTAAGGATCCTTTGAAAAAGTTTGCTTCTTTCCATTCATTCAGTACAGAATGAATCTTTGACATATCTGTAGTAAGTAGTCCTCTGTCCTTCACTTACATTTTTTTAATTATTTGATTTTTTTGAACAGTTTCTCTGTGTAGCCCAGGCTGGCCTTGAACTGATCATCCTTCATCCCCCCGAGGTCTGTGATTACAAGCACTCAGCACCATACCCAGCTTGTTTGATTTTTTTATGGCACCCAGTATATAGTGTCTCACCAAACACCAGCCAGTTCTTCAATTTGCTGATAGACGCTGGCTGTCCAGCAACTGGCAATTCAGTCCTAACACTACCTGAATTTAGTGAACCTAAGTCTTGTCATGGCCACATACCCTAGGTTCAGTAATTCACGAGAATCACTCACAGAACTCAGCAAAACACCGTTCACATTGAGCTTCCCTTACCTGAAATCTTTGGGACCAGAGTGCTTCAGATTTTTTAGTTTTTTTTCAGATTTTGGAATATTTGCCTGTGCATAATGGGATATCTTGGGGTTAGACCCCAAGTCTAAACATGAAATTCACTTATGTTTGTGCACACCATATACACACAGCCTGAAGGTAACTCTAGCCAGTATTGTAGTGCACCTGTGTTTTTACTGTAGCTCATCACAGGTGGTCAGGTATGGAATTTTACACTTTTGACATCATGTCAGTACACAGAAAGTTTCAGTTTTGGACAGGTTTTTGCTCAGCGGTCCTGAGCATGTCTGTATGCACATGAGTCCTCTGTCCTTTGTCCTTGTGGAGTCAGGGCTGTGGAGTTGGGCTGCACCCCCACTGGCACAGGGGTATTCTCCAATCTAGAAGTGCTCCTGACTGTGTCCTGTGGGGATTGTGTAGAGGTTTCATGGCACAGGTGTGGTTGGTGCTGGGCACAGGCTTCAGCTCCTCTTTGTCCTTGGGGAGCAGGTCTGAAAGTCCTGATCCTCTGATCTGTGGTTGGTGTTTCTGATGAGCGGCCCTCATCCTAAAGCCCTCCACTCCACCCCCCACCCCACCATGTGTCATCTTCTTGGTATTGGTACTCAGAAGCCAATAGATTCAAAGACTTAAGAGCTCAGTGCCAAGAATCAGGGAAAATATTTTTTTTAATCATAGCACAGGTCTCTCTTAGGATTTTGTTGTTGCTGTTGTTGCTTTCACAAGGCATTCATTCAGTCTTGTATTCAAGAAAGTAATGTCTCCAATCATGATTAAAGATTTCACATGTGAAGTATTTCTGCCACTCAGCCCCAGTCCTAAAATCATGCCATGAAATCATTTTTATTTCTTAACAGCCTTAACTCAGGGAGAAGATCTTACTTAAACAATAGATTTTGGTGATGCAGGTATGAGCAGGTGATTGATGACTTTACTAATTATTCTTTCGTGACTTGTACATTAGCAGCTTTTACTGTGTCACATCCAGAGGGATGCTGGGGGATAATAGGAATGGTTATTTATATAAAGTCCTCTACTTTCTTGTTTTGGCAACTTTGGAAGTTAGGACTGCTCCTGAGGGAGTCGAATTTTGTAGAGTTAATTACTTCCCTGTTGCCAGAGGTGATTTATATCTGTGATATTATATCAGCCAGTCACATGGGAACTAGAAAGCAAAATTACTTTTGCTGCAATTACAACTCACTAGTAGGGTATTAGAGTGTCCCTGGATGGCAAACAGCATAACAGAGTAATAGGTGGAACTTTTTTCCAATTTGAACAAAAAGCTTTCTCAACTTTTTTAAGGCCTCTTGATACATGTATAAAAGAAGTCATAAAGAGCACTTGGTATGAAGAACATAATTTTTTTAATTACTTTTTTAACAGCATAATGGACATCAGAGATCCATGGTTCATATATCATCTTAAGAATGAATTAAAATTACTTTTTAAAGAGAGGCGAAATTTACATTTAGTCGCCCAGACTAGACTCCTTTTGTCTTAAAAGTCAAAAGAGGAAAGTTATCAGATTTAGCCTACCAAAACACTCTACCTTTTAGTGGATAGCATCCAAGTAACCTGAAAACCAAAATTTAAAATACACATACATATCTATATATGCATGTACAATAAGCCCGCCTTATTATAGGATTTGTCACATGTGGTTTTGACCAAGTGTGGTCAGCACAGCACTGAACTCTGCATCTTGAGCACACACAGGCTTTCTTCATTGGCGGTCTCCTTGAAACCACATACCTGTAGATGCTGACAGTCTACTGAGTATTTATTGTATCTGGACGTGTGCATGTGTGTGTTCATAACCTCAAAAGTTGCGCTAGCAATTTCATTCTTCTCAATCATAATCCCTCAGTTCTTATTGTGAGATGTGGTTTTACAGAAAGAAAAATGTTGTAATAGATCACTTCTGTATTTTCTTAAACCATCCTGTCATGAGATGTATACATGCCTTTGAACAAATGAGATACGCCTCTGGCTAGTCCTCTGTTAGAGAGGCATTAGGAAATTAATATAATATTCTAATATTTTGGGGAAGATGGTTCTCCAGTTTCTTTTAATTTCCATGACAATGTATAAAAGAGAATAAAGATGTGATATTTGATAGTCTCTGATTTATTTTTAAGTAAGGAAGCATTTCCAATATTTGTTTTTTGCTGTAAACTATGAAATGAACTTTTATGTTAACCATAATGAAAAGGTAAAATTAAGAGTATGAAATAATGTTATTTCATCATGCCTCCAAACCTCTTTATCAGTGGGAGAATATTTTCTCAAAGAAGGCCTTTACACATTACCAGGAGGCCCCAATCACCAGCCTGTTTCTAGAGCAAGGCAAGCAATTATTGCCTCCCCCTAGAAAACTAGAAAAGTTGGTTATTAAAAGAAAAATTTAGTTCTGTAAGTCACTGATAAATAAGATTCCATCTTAGATGTTCTAAAGAGTATGTTTTTTCCTTTTATGGTGATATTAGGGCTTGAACTCATGGCTTTGCACTTACTAGACAGGTGTTCTACCACTTGAGCCATGCCTCCTGCCCTTTTTTGTTCTGGCTATTTTGGAGATAGGGTCTTGGTTTTTGCCCACGTTGACCTGGACTGCTGTCTCCTATTTTATGCTTCCCACCATCAGTGGGATGACAGGTGGTGTTTGCCCTCTGAGATAGCATCTTACAGACTTTTGTGCTGAGACTGGTCTAGAACCCAAGATCCTCCTAGTCTCAGCCTCCCAAACAGGTATAAGCTACGGGCACCTGGCTAGTTTTCTTCTTCTTTTTTTTTTTAAGAGTTTATTTTTAACTCAGGTAATTTACTGCAACTCTTTTTGGTTTTGAATGTCAAGGACTGGAGTGTGGCTCAAGTGGAAGAGTGCTGCTTTGCAAGTATGATGTCCTGAGTTCAAACCCCAGTCCCACCAAAAAAAAAAGAAAAGAAAGAAAAAAGTCACATAAATGACTTCTTACAGATGATTTCACAGAGTATTTCCATCTGACCTTGGAGCTTTTCTAATGTTTTCAGTAGTTCAAACATAATTGAAATGTGGCAGTTCCTACGGTGACTATGTCACACAGAGGCCCATGGTTAACGCCCCTTGTGCCTGGACACTGCAGAATTCTTTTCCACTTTGTGCTGGTCATTGCCTCTGGATATGTGTAAGTCTGTGTGTGCCTCGTGGTACAGCAGTTTAGTCTTCAGTCATGGTTTGCCTGTGAACTTCATCTCATCACTGAGAAATGAGCACGGCCTTAGGGGTGCCCTTGGGCACATGCACAGGGCTCTGAGACACTCACATTCTGGTGACCAGGGGACAATTGGTGTTTTAGCTGGTGGAGGCAGTGACCTGAGACTCTGGACAGTGAACGGGGACCTCGTTGGACACGTCCACTGCAGGGAGGTCATCTGTTCCGTGGCCTTCTCCAACCAGCCTGAGGGCATATCCATCAACGTAATCGCAGGGGGTCTAGAAAATGGGATTGTAAGGTAAGACAGGCTTGGGTTCGTTCTTATTTCACTTTTTTGTTTGCTTGTTTTGCTTTCATTCATGGGAATACAGAAGTTTCAGAAATTAGTTTTTAAATCTAAGCATATTGATACTTAGTATTTAGGGTTTTATAATCACCTTCGGTTATTCCTGTTTTACTTTGAAATAATGAATATAGATTTAGTGCCGTTTTGAAACTTTGTGTTAAGTATGAAAGATTAACTTTGTTAAGGATGAGTACAGTGACTCACAGCTGTAATCCCAGCTACTTGGGATGATTTGGGGCCATTTCAGGCAGTTAGCAAGACCCAGTCTCAACAATAAAACCAGGCATATACAGAGCTGTAATGTCAGCTGTGCAGGATACATAGGTAGGAGGATCGAGGGCCAAGGGTGGCCCAGGGAAAAACTCAAGACCCTATCTGAAAAATAACTAAAGCAAAAAGAGCTAGAAGTGTGGTTCAAGTAGAAGGGTACTTGCCTAGCAAGCATAAGGCTGGAGCTCAAACCATAGTACCACCAAAAAAAAAAGTATACAAGTTGAAAGTTCCCAGGGGTAATAGTGTTTTTTATTATATTTCTTTCCAGGTAACTTTTAGTGAATAAGCAAATGTTTTGGCTTTCTTTAGTTTGCATGATTGGGTAATGACTGTTCTCCCCTAGGTTATGGAGCACATGGGACTTGAAGCCTGTGAGGGAAATTACATTCCCCAAATCCAATAAGCCTATTGTAAGGTAAGATCTTCCCCCTTTTTTCTGCATAGTGTAAGTTGTGATTGTGTTGTTAGATATTAAAGCACAGAGACCCAAAGAAATGTGTGACTGAAGGCATCATGAACAGCCAAACACTTGTTACCTGCAGTAGGAGGTGTGCAGCCACACAGCTGTTGAGGTCTTAAAGTCAGAGCTAGGCTCTCAGTCTAGGAGAAGGGCATGCATGTGGTGCCAGGGCCTCTGGAGGCCGGAGTTGTACTTCTCGTTCCTAGCTTGCCTCCTGCAGGTTGTGCTGACCAGACAGACTCACACCAGTCTCCCTGGACTTTGTCTACCAGTTTGACTTTACTTGTTTTTGTGTGTGTGTGTGTATGTGTGGTGGGGGGGCACCACTGGAGTTTGAACTCAGGGCCTCAAGCCTGCTCTTACCACTTGAGCCACTCCATCAGCCTATAAGTTCAACTTTAAAAAATCAACTAGAAGTAAAGCAATTCAAATTGTACTTCATTAAAATTAATTTTCATTTTACTAAATTTAGAGTTTTATGAGCCTTATTTACTAATATTAGATTGTTTTAACCTTTTCTCTTTCAGGGAAATAAAATATGGCTGTAAGATAATTGCCCTTTGAGTTTTGAGGAGAAATGTTCTGCTATTGTATTTTTTAAAGTTTCCTACAACCATAAGCAAGAAGGGATGGACTGTCCTGAGCTCTTAGCTCCTGGTTTTATTCCAGGTCATGTAGCTAAATGAGCTCCATAGTCAGCAGAGTGACTGTATTACAACCCCAGTCAAAACCAGTGACTTGGGCTGGGGATGTAGCTCAGTGGTGAGCTCTTGCCTAGCAGATGTTAGGCCCTGGGTTCTATCCCCAGCACAAAAAAAAGAGTTGTAGACAGCATTTAACTTCTGTCTCTGTGCTCCTGTGAGGGGATCTGCACTGCTTTACACTAACCTTTATCATGACCAATAGGCATGGTACAAACGGGCTTTGTTTTTACAGCCTTACGTTTTCCTGTGATGGCCACCATTTGTACACAGCCAACAGTGACGGAACGTGATTGCATGGTGTCGTAAGGACCAGCAGCGTGTGAAGCAGCCCATGTTCTACTCCTTCCTCAGCAGCTATGCCGCGGGATGAGCAGTGGAACTATGTTTCCCACAGCTCTTGACTGCAGCCTGGAGGGGCCGGTGTCACCACTTCGAGGAGGTGAACGTGAAGGAGCAGTAACTAAACGCCCCATCCAGTGCTGAGACTCCTGCTCCTCGCACAGAACTCCCAGCCACCTGGACCAAGGAGGGGCAGCTGCCTTAGCCTGTGGTGTGTGGAAGATGCCAGCACGCCAGTCACTAAGTCTTAGCTACTGCATGATAAATTAAAGTCATGCACTTAAAGCTTTTCTCCCACAAAGATGTCCTAAAGAAAAGATGAGGGCCCCCCTTTTTCTCTTTTTTCAAAAGGGCCAATAGAATTTAAGTTGGCTAAGTAAATATTTATATAAAATACTCTATTGTATTTTCAAAGTTTTCTGCCTTGATATCCCACACACCCACACTGCCCCAAAAAAGAAAAAAAAAAAAACAGAGTTTTTGGGACTCAACAATTGCTTTCTTTGAAAAGCAAGTTATTCAGCAGGTGCCACACCAAGCGCTTGCTAAGATATGAATACTAAGAGACTGCTGGTGCGTCTTGGCTCAAAGGAGAACCAGAATTTCTTGACAGCCACAAGCAACAACACAAGTTATCTCTGATTTCAGACACATTCTATTTCCTCATGATAATTGTACTTAAACTGGAACACTATAAACTGAAATACTTAGTCGAGTGACTGAGGTAAATGGAATGGTAAGTCTTTTAGCATCTGCTGTTAACAATGCCACTACAGAGCTTTGAACCCTTCCCTCCTAAGCCTGGCAGGCGTTAATAGTGCAGCCAGGATAAAGCTGTTCATCTGATCTGCAGGGAGAATGTTCTTTCCCAAAGCAAAACTATAACAGGAAAGGAAACAGCTTACTGTGTTTTAAACAGAAGGCAAAATAACTTGTAGGAAACCGTTTTCAATCTGTTCCTTTTAACCTATACCATTGGAGAATTCTAGGAGCAATAGAAAAATCTAAGTGGACTCAAAGCCAGTTTCTGAGCCGCGAAGACACAGCTCCTTGAGCTGGTGACAGCCCATCTCGGTCATGCTGGGACGGCTGCATGTTTGCTTGGGGTGCTACTCTAGTGACTTTGAGCACACTGTAAAGTAGGCTCAGAAATATGTTACCAAGGGATGGAAATATGTATTCCTGTCTAAGAATAACTCACACATTTATTGTGGCAATTTAGTTCAGGCGATGTTTACAGAACTACTTTTGTAACTTCCAGACTCTCCAAAAACATCCTGCTTAAAAACTGTAAAATGCAATTCCAGAGTCTCTGCTGTCAGGATAAGCACAGGGCGAGTGGCCACATGTGCTTGGGCCTCACATTAATGCTGAGGTCCATGGAAGTGCAGAGATGAGATTACTCCTATTCACGTTGAAGTGATCTGCTTTGTTTAAAAAGAAAACTCAGCTATTGTCTAGCTTCCACTTTTTTACTAAGAACTCTGGTCTCCTAATAGAATGGGTTGCTACTCGGTCTTTTTTTAGGGCTGACGTTCATCATTTATCTAAAGAGAAAATATGCAAAACAACTGGTCTTGTGAAGAGTGCAATATTCTATTTTTATGTCACAATAGAAATTAATTTGGGGGGATTATTTATTCAGCATGAAACCTACTATGTGTGTGTCGGAAACACGCCATAACGTGCATGTTTACCAAACGTTTCTGTAAGTTAGCACACGCTCTGTTATCTTTGCATACACTGCCACTTGGTTTGGAAATAAATTTCATAAAATAGATTTAACCACCTGTCCTGTATGTGCATAACTGTTACAAGCAGATCTCCATCTGGTACATTTTAAAAACTCACACAGGTCTTCAGCTCCCTCATAAATGTCTGTCACTTGGAAAAAGATGCAGATAGCCTTCATTTCTTATTACCTTTATTTTTATTATTTCTTTTGTTCTAAGATGCTCTATTTTAACTTTTCCTACCTTTAAATGAAGTCGAGGCAGCAGTCTCAAGATCAACCACTCATTTTAAAGAAAAGAACGTTTGTTGTGTGCACATTGGGCCCCGCCCCAATGTGTACACATGCCAGGCAAAACATGCCAGGCTCTGTTTTGCGCTGAGGCTACAGTGTTGCACAAACCTAGCTGTTTCCCACTCTCCTGGAGTTTTCAGGCTGGTGAGAAGCAACCCTAAGTGCTACAGGTAGCACACGAATACAAACCAGAGCCGCGGGGAGTCCAGTCAGGCTTCTGACCAAGAGAATATCTCAGGAAGAACTCATTGTAGGTGGAGGTAACCTAGAGAGGCTCTTCCACTGAGCTATATCCCCAGCTCTTAGGTTTATGAGACAAGGTCTTGCTATGTAGCCTAGGCTGGTCTTGAACTGATGGTCTTCCTGCCTCCACCTCCTGAGTGCTGGAACTACAGGCATGCACCACAATGACTAGCTATAGAAAAATCTTGGTTTAGGCTATGGGTACATGTGCAGAGATCAGGATGGGAACATCAGCAGACTCAGGCCAGGTCCTGGGAAAGGCTGCAGAGTGCTAGTGACAGTGACAGCAGGCCTAGGGCCAGGAGCTGCTGCCACCCTGCCTTGCATCTGCAACATTCACAGCTTCTCATTCTGTCCCCAGGAGAACCCAGCAGCAGGGTTTTATCTGTGTTAGCTGCCAACCAAATGTCCCCTCTGCCTGCCAGTCTGTGCCACTGTCCGTCCATGATGGTGGGGAAGAGAGGGTGAAAAGAGACCCAGCATCTTGGCGCCCATTCCTGGCCATGGGTTTCTCGCTACTTTAGATAACACTGGGCAAGTGAGAGGAAGGGAGGAAATGCCACCAGTGAGCATTTGTTTAATCAGCAATATTGAAGAGAGGTTCCCTGGAGATTGAAACTACGAGAGCTCTGGATCCATGTCAGGCTCCTCCTTTCGTTATTGAGTACCCTTCAACTGCCCCCAGTTTGTCTCCATGTGTTCCCAAACTGCCAACACATGTTGGACAGCTGTATGATTTCCCCAGTGGTTGCTAACCAGGGCCACACTCCATTTAGTATGAAGCCAGAGCACTCTGAATTCTACAAAGCGTAACACTGTCCCTAGAAAGACTCACTGAAAATCATTAGTGTGGGAGGGCAGGCAGGGGAACACGGCGGCCTGAACAATTCAACATGGAGGACGCAGAGGGCATCTCAGGTTCAGGGCAAACCCGTATTTGGGAGAATGAGAATACAACATTGTAGCACGCTGGTTATCAACTTTCCCCTCGGCTGTGTCTTCTTTAATCTCCACAGTAAATCAGCTGTAGTTGCAAACGTACACTCAGGTGTACACTGAGCTGGAAAAGAAGTGCCATCAACTGTATATGACATGAACAGAAAAATACATCCTGCCGCCTTGGGACACTGGGTTGCAGTCCAGCTCTTGGAGAGAGATTAAATAATGCAATGTGTAATTGAGGCCAAAATGACTAAGACCACTTGAGACTGGGGTACAATATTCCTGCTTCAGTGCCTCACACATTTCTTCTTCATAAACAAAGTTGAGAGATGGCTTTGTTAAAAGATAGTTCTGGGCAGAACAGGTTCTGCCTGGAAGCAAGGGGGCAGGGGAGGGAGAGGAAGGGAGCAGGGGACAGAAGGGAGAAATGGCCCAAACGATGTATACACACATGAATAAATGAATAAAAAAAGAGAGTTACAAAGTCTATGGGGCACTTAGATCAGGCTGTGTATACCAAAGATCTCACTAAAAATTGAGTCTAATCACGATTAAAAAAAAAAGGTGGATCCCCTTAATCAAATTTCAAGAAACTAAAGGAGAAGGACGAACAGGAAGATTAAAAAGATTTGATGGCCTTTAGTTTGAAAAGGAAATAAAAATTATGAAACTAAATGATAAAATTTAACAACATTTAGATTAAAACTGCAATGATCAATTTTAGAGTAAACAATAAGTTAAAAATTCCTTGGTTTGGGAGTGTACCACTGCAAAAAAAAAAAATGTTTTTGATAGTAAGACATGAGATTTTCCCCAGGTTCTCTCTTAGCCTTGATTTCAAATCATTTTCTCTTATAGGTCCTAACTGGTGACCCTTGCTTCTCGCTCTTCTTATTTTGATTCTCATTTGACAGTGATTCTGTAGTCCTCTATTAGTACTTTCGGTGACTTCAAGAAAGTACATCTTGTGTGATATTTGCATTTACACTTTGAAATGGATTGCATTGTATTTTTATCCTATTTTCCAGTTACTGATGCTTTAAACTGTGGGAAATATAGCGCTAGTATTTGGCACAGAGGAAGCTGTGCTGTTTGTTGACTAATTTTGTAAGTGGCTGTTTTTTATTATATATTTGTATGTACTTGTATTTTACTTCCCTGGGTAATCTTACATAAATCCAGAAACTTGATTATGAAAACTCAGAAGGCTACTCTGATCTCTGAATAATCAAGAATGGCCTGGCTTTCCAAACATCCTCGAAATGACTAGATTTTTATTTGAAGGAAATACAGTCCATGAGGCAAATGGTATTATTCCACTCTTAGAATCTTGTTCCGTATTCTTAAGGCACAATAATAAACTTTGGAAATATATGCCACATCTTTAGCAAGATAGTTAACTCAAAATTTAACTAAAAACTGCGAAGTAGAAAAATAATTGCTTCTGTGTTGTTTAAGTATGACTAGTCATTTGTCAACACATAAAAGGTTCTCTCTTTTTTCTATTTTTTTCCCAATAAAATTGGCAAAAATTGGGCCTGGGAATTAGCTCAGTGGAAGAGCACTTGCCTACTATGCAGGAGGCCCTAAGTTTGATTCCTAGCACTGCAGAAATCAATCAGTCAATTAAATAAATAAAAATTATTAATGTGTATATGTAGGCTAAAACAATTATTAATTAGGAAAGTTTTTAATGCAGTTGTAATTTTTTGATTGTACGAGGCCAGAATACTATCCTACAATATGCTCCTTTTGGTATAAGGATTTTTAACTGAAGGCAGACAAGAAGAGCAGGTAAGAGGAGAAAAGCTCTCTGCCCTCCTCATCTGCCCTAAATAGCAGGATACAAATTCACAAAAAGACAAAGGTGTCCCTCCTCCCTGCTACCAAAAAAGTACAAATGTTGACCACTAGAGGCAATTTTATTTCTTTTATTTTTTATCTGTTTGACACAAGGTCTCACTATGTAGAGACAAGGTTTCTAATTTACTGTGTAGCCCATGTTGGCCTCAAACTCAACAATCGTCTCTCCTCAGCCTCCTAAGTTCTTCTAGGCATGTGCCACCTGGACCTAAAAATCAATTTGAATCCCTTTCAGTATCAAATGGCCCAAAGGAACCTGCATGACACCCTTTACTAACTAGCTTTTATCTACCATTCATTTGCCTTCCCACAATTTGCCACCCCTCGAGGCACAGAAGTCTTGTTCTTTGACTTATTACTTCTCTAAAAATTCTCATTGTTGAAGATGCTATCTAAGCCTGAATTCTAAGTTATCTCTGAGAATTACTCGTTTCCTGGATATCTGTCATCTAGCTTGCAAGAGTTCATAGTAACTAAGAACCCAGAAGAGTACAGGCAAAATTATTTTTTCTTCCTTTGTCATGTAGTGTTAAGGTACATATTTACAGTCAGAAAAATATAACAGTAGCAAATTTGCTGCTAGGAAATAGGTTTCTGACATATCATTATTTTCAAATAATATCTTCACCTAGTATTTCTAGAAATTGCCTTTTTAAGGTATGTATTGATTCATTTTCTAAAGTTTCTCTTAAAGCAATAAATTAAGATGATAAAAATGCAAAAAGAATTTAAGTCTATCCAATGCTTTCCAATCCAATAATAAAGAATAGGCAATCTGGCAAAATTCTGTTTGCAATATTTACTGTTGAGGTACGAAAAGTCATTATAATGATTTATATTTAAAAGATTTGCTTTTGGAAGAAACTACTTTGTGATTGATTAGATTAGAACTCATGGTGCTGTTGGCTGATAGGAAATTACTAAATGAAAAGGGACAGATAAACTTCCTTTAAGCTATCTTTAGTGCTTCTGTATTCCAATATTCGATCCATATCATGCTATTTTGGAAACACCCAGTTTTTGGTTATTTTCTTTTAGAATTCTGAGGACCTTCTCATTTGTTTTGAGTGCTGGTGTACACTTCTGACAATTAACTTTGTTGATTCCACTTTTCCCTCTCCTGTGGGAAAACACAAACGTGTTTTAGCAGTATCAGAAGTGGTCCATCAATTTGCCTAAGAAAGTGGCTGAAGGATTTTTTTTCTGACATTGGCTTATGATAGAGACAAAAAATCCAATGTCTTATCTGCACTGTTCTTCTACTTTCCAACTAATGAGCAACAAAGAAGTATCACTAGATAAGGTTAGGTGAAGGGAAATAATACATAAAGCAATGTCATAAAATGAGTATCAATTATTGTTAGTCTTGCTTTCAATTAAAGTCCTCAATAAACTCAATTCCACAGTAAGTTTAGTTCATGCATATCAAAATTTAGTAAGTTCCTAGAAATTTAGCAATACATAAAAATGACTAAATGATTTAAAAATTCCCAAGGGGTTTTTAAAAATTATATATGACCATGAGAGAAGTGCATGAAAAAAATTATGAAAGTGCTAGACCGTGGTAAATGCTATTTCTTTCCTCCAAACAACCTGTATAGAAACTGCTAACATCATCTGTCATTTTACTCTGCCTCTCTGAAGATCTAAAATTCATGACAGTGTAAACAGCAGGCATCACATTATGGTAGAATGAATCCTGAACA